TTCTTAAATTCCACCCATGAGTGAAATCATATGGTATTTGTCTTTCTCTGACTGACTTATTTCACTTAGCATAATACTCTCAAGTTCCATCCATGTCATTGCAAATGGTAAGATTTCATTCTTTTTGATGGCTGAGTAGTATTCCATTTTGTATATATATTTATCACATCTTCTTTATCCATTCATCACTTGATGGACACTTGAACTGTTTCCATAATTTTGCTATTGTAAATAATGCTACTATAAACATCAGGATGCATATAACCCTTTAAATTAGTATTTTCATATTCTTTGAGTAAATACCTAGTAGTGCAATTGCTGGATCATGGGGCAGTTCGATTTTTAACTTTCTGAGAAACCTCCGTAAAGTTCTCAAGAGTAGTTGCACCGGTTTGCATTCCCACAACACTGCAAGAGGGTTCCCCTTTCACCCCATCCTTGCCAATACCTGTTATTTCTTGTGTTTTTGAGTTGAGCCATTCTGACAGGTGTGAGGGCATATCTCGTTGTGGTTTTGATTTGTATTTCCCTGATGATGAGTGACGTTAAGTGCCTTCATTTGTCTGTTAGTGATCTGTATGCCTTTTGGAAATGTCTGTTTATGTCTTCTGTCCCTTTTTAATTGGATTATTCATCTTTTGAGTATTGAGTTTTGTAAGTTCTTTGTATGTTTTAGATATTAACCCTTTATCAGATATGTCATTTGCAAATATCTTCTCCCATCCTGGAGGTTGCCTTTTAGTTTTGTGGATGACTTTCTTTGCTGTGCAGAAGCCTTTTATTTTGATGTAGTCCCAATAGTTTATTTTTGCTTTTGTTTCCCTTGCCTCAATAGACATACCTAGTTTGAAGTTGCAATGGACAATGTCAAATAGGATTTTTATGGTTTCATATCTAACATTTAAGTCTTTAATCTATTTTGAATTTATTTTTGTGTATACTAGTTCTTAAATTAGGGACACTGGCTTTTGTATTAATGACATTACTTTCTTTTTTCCCTAAACAGCATGTAAAATTTACTTAACTTTACATTTCCCTCAATCCCATGCAACTTGTCTTCCACCATTCTTGTAATATTAAACTGCCTAGGTTTCTATGATACTCGATTACCTTTAAAGTCCATATTTCTACAAACAGTCTTTTCAAGGCAGTCTCAGCTTTTACTGTCACAACTTCAAAATTCTTTCAGACTCTACACATCTCGATTTCAAAGCCACTTCCATATTTTTAGGTACTTGTTATAGTGGTACCCGATTTCCCAGTATTAAAATCTGTTTTAGTTTCCTATGGCTAGGTGGCTTAAGGCAACAGAAGTGTATTGTCTCATAGTTCTGGAGGCTAGAAATGAAATGAAAATGAGAATGTAAAGAAATGAAAGTGCCAGGAGAGCCATGCTCCCTCTGAAACTGGGTAGAGTCTCCCAGCTTCTGATGGTGGCTGTCAATCTTTGATGTTCGTTGGCTTGTTGGCTTGCTCTTACCTCACTCTAATGTTTGTCTCCATCTTCATATGGCAGTCTGTGTGTGTCTCTGTGTTCACATGGCATTTTCCTCTTAAGGATACCAGTTATATTGTATCCATTAAAGTGGAGTCCACTTTAATGACCTCATCTTAATTATATCTTTAATGACCCTATTTCCAAATAAAGTCACATTTACAAGTACTAGGGACTAGGACTTCAACATGTCCTTTGGGGGAAGCACAATTCGTGCTATAACAGTATGGGTATATCACATTTTATTTACCTGTTCATGAATTGATAGAAAATTGGGTTGTTTCTACTTTTTTGACTATTGTGAATAATGGTACTGTAATCGTTCATGTATAAGTTTTTATATAAGGGTATGTTTTCATTTCTCTTGGATATATACCTAAGCGTGGAATTGCTAGAAAATGTGGTAACTTTATGTTCAACTTTTTGAGCAGCTGCCCAACTATTTTCCAGACAGCTGCACCATTTTACATTCGTACCAACAATGTATGAGTTCTAATTTTTGTACATTCTTGCAATGCTTGTTACTGATTTTCTTTTTCGTTATAGCCATTCTGCTGGGGTTAAGTGTATTTCACTGAGATTTACATTTATATTTCCCAGATGCCAGATTATGTTAAGCATCTTTTCATGGTCTTAATGACCATTTGTCTATCTTTAGAGAAATGTCTGTTCATATCCTTTGTGTTTTTATTGTTGAGTTGTGAAAGTTCTTTTTATGTTCTAGATACTGTCCCCTTACCAGATATATGGTTGGTAAATATTTTCTTCCAATGTGTGCTTGTCTTTAACTCTTTTTTGATAAAGTCCTTTCACTTTCTCTTTAAAAAAAATTTTTTTTTTTTAGTTTTTATAAAGGTGATCAATGTGAAAAGTTTAAGAAGTCAAATAGTGTTAAACAGAAACTAATAGATGTCTCCTTCCTTCTACATACTCCCAATTCCTGCTCCCCAGAGATAAGTGCTTTTAGTCAATTTAGCTATTTTCATATTTACCTCCATGTTTCTAAATAACATGTTTAAACTGCTATTCATTGGGTTTTTTTTCTCTTTGAGGATAATTATTTACTGACTTTTAACAATGGAAGTTAAGGACCAAGCTAAGCTCCCTCCTTATACCTTAGTCTTCTTGTTATATAAATTTTGGTGTATCAGTTTTCATTTTTGATATTACTATGACTGTATAAAATTGTCCACAGTTGAGTCCTCTAATATATGATTACATTGCCTTTCTTTTCTAATTCTTTGTTTTTCTTGAAATTAATAATTTTGTTTTTATTATCATTGGTTAGTTTCCTACTTATCTGTTCCCAAATTCAGTTTGATTTTTTTCCTAGGAACATCTTTTCTAGAGCAGTTCAACCTTGGCTGTAGTCTAGACTCTTTTCCAGGGTGGGCACACAAATGCTGACATGTATTTGTCCTCCACCATCATCTCTGTGTTGGATCACCTGTCTCACTGGTTCCCATGTTTTGTCTTTTGTAGTTCGTCCCCTTGTGAAGCATTTGCATTTTTGAAAATGTCTGTTTGCCTTTGTAGTTAGGTGATAGTTTAGCTATGTATGGTATTTTGAGCTGGACATTTTTTTTTTTTCAAAGCTTGAAAATCTTAAACCATTGTCTTCTCATAATGATGTTATTTAGAAGTCAAGTGCCAGTCTGATTTTCTGTTTTTTATATGTGAGTTGTTTTTTATCTTTGAGATTTTCCTTTTTTTTTTTTTTTAGCATTGTGCTGAACTTATGATGTCCTATCGTATGGGTTTTGTGTTGGGTACTTGGTGAAACTTTATCAATCTAGTATCTCAAGTGCCTTAGTTGGTGATATTTTCTTAATTTTCTCCCCCTTTTAATTTCTTTTGTCTCTTTTCTCTGTTTCTTCTTGTTGGAAATCCTATTAATGTAATTGTTGTTTCATGTAGATTATGCTCTTAATTTTCTTTCTTTTCTCCCCTCAGTTTCTACCTCTGAATTTTTATTCTACTTCTCAACTATTTTTCTCAACTTAATATTTGCTATCACTCATTTGCTATCTGAGAGCTTTTGGGAATTTTCTGAATGTTTCTTTGTTAATTTACTATAACTTCTTTTTATTTTTACAACGTCTTTGTAGTCACTTTGTTTCTGAGTAAGTTCATTGTGATGGTTTGGTTTTTGTTTTGTTTTATTTATTTTTTTATTTATTATTTGTTTATTATTTATTTATTTTATTTTATTTATTTATTTTTTGCTACATGTTTCTTGTTTCTGTTTTGGTGTCTGTCTTTGATGTTTGGTAAATATATGTAAATATTTAAAACCATTCCTAGCACACAGGATATACTCAGTAAATAAATATTAGGTATTTTGTCTAGTGAATAAACTAGAGGAAAGGAGGGAATGGGGGCTGAGTGACAAATCTGTGTTAGGTAGTCTAAGCTAAATGATCACCCAACTACAGAGGCAGGTAGACATTTTCAAAAATGCAAATGCTCTACCACAAGAGGATGAACTTGAATAATGTTCAGGGATGGAGAATATTGAAAACATTAGAGAGACATTCCTAAGGTTTCCACATGAAAAGTAATGTAGACTTAAAGAATCACCTAAAGATTTCAAGCTTGAGACATTCAGTGTCTCCTATTCTCTGAAATTAAGAAGACAGGAGAAAAAGCAATATTGGGGCAACAGGATTGAGTATGTTTTTAGATTTGAGAAGTGCGAAGTAGACTGTTTAACGCTAAAGACTCTACATAGTCTGTCTTCTACCCAAATGTCAGGCTTTGTTCTCTATTTCTTTAACATAGCCTTAGAATATTCATTAGTCTCAGTATTCTGCTTCTCTTTTGGGAAATCACAATCACACTTTGTTAAATTATCTGTAACATCTTGCTTTTTGGTCTCTTAAGATATATACCAGGTTCATGAGTTTGTGTATGTGTGTGTAAAACTTTAAGAACAGATGAAGTCCTCAATATGTTAAGAAAAGTGAGAGTACAAACCAGACTGACAAAGTTTGTTAGTAGTTGATAGTATACTGGTTTTGACAGGGGGATTATTAACTTTTTGACCATCCTTGTTTTTTCCAAGAACTTGGTATTATTTTTTAAATAAAGCTATTTTTTTTTATTTAAAGATAAATAATGAAGGGAAAGTTATTTTGGCAAACCCTCATTTTCACCAGCTACTATGAAATATAGGGGCGCCTGGGTGGCTCAGTCGGTTAAGCGTCTGACTTCAGCTCAGGTCATGATCTCGTAGTCTGTGAGTTCGAGCCCCACGTTGGGCTCTGTGCTGACAGCTCAGAGCCTGGAGCCTGCTTCAGAGTTTGTCTCCCTCTCTCTCTGCCCTTCCCCTGCTCCTGCTCTGTCTCCCTCTGTCTCAAAAATAAATAAAAACATTTTTAAAAAATTAAAGAAAAATAGTCTAAGTAACAAACAGGAAAGAAATGCTGTTGAATCCTTGTAATTATATAAAATGTGAATTTTTTTTCTTTTGAGATCTGAATTCTAATTTTTTTTTCTTTTACAGGTTTTACAGCTCTTTAAAACATTACACAGGACCAGACAACAGGTTTTTAAAAATGATACCAGAGCATTAGAAGGTAGGTTTACTTTTTGCTCCTTTGGAGTAAGTGCATTCTTCACATGGCTACTAATATATCCAAGAAAACTTGTATGGTCAAGACCCATCTTAGAGAGTGATCTTCACTATCTCTCCCCTAATGTTGTTATGTTTTGTAAAGATTAGTTTACATTACACTTCTTTGAGATGTATCTTCTTAAAAAATTTTTAAAGATCAAGTTCTTACAAAAAATCAGAATTTCAGTGTGATCCTTTGCTTGCTTTATGTTCGAGCCATTAAACTTACTCCTCTATTATATAATCCCATTTTCACACTCTTGGACCAGATACTACCATATAGTTAATGCCTTGTTTCATGCTCAAAGTGATAGTAGTGCTGAAAGAGAACCTATCCCAAACGATTATAATTTAGTATTTCACTGTTTTAAGTGGCTTCTTATCTGGAAATCAGAGCTCTAAAGCTTAGTTTCTATGTTGGTCATGTTCAGTATCTATCTTAATATATTTCTAAAACTCTTTGAGAGGGCACTTAGATAGTGTCCTTACTATTCCCCAGGAATTCAAGTTTTTGTAATTCACCAAAAATAATTTCTTGAATATTAAAGTGTATACTTCATTTTGCATATACTTTACCAAATTCATTTAATCCTACATCCCTGTGAGTTACTATTATAATTTCTGTTTTCTTCAGATGACAAAATTGACAAAATGTGAAAGAATTTCTCCCACATCGTATTTAATGAGAGGTACAATTGGAATTTAGCCTAAGCAGTTTGGGTACAAAGCCCAAATCTTCACCATCTTACGTATCGAAATATATCAAGCAGCTTTTATGGCTATTCTCCATCAGCAGCATATTTTTGTTACTTTAAGTGTTTTCAAGTGACATAAGAACAGTTAACCTTACATAATTACTAAGCACTTTACATGGGTTGCTCTATTCAGTGTTCACAGCATCAATAAGGCAGTTGTTAGATTAGACTAAATTGTGCTATAATGATGCCAAGTGTCAGTGGTGTACATGAACAAAAGGTTTATCACTCACTTTACATGTTAGCCAAGACACTTATATATATATTTTGTTCCTATGTCTTTGTCTGTGTGTGTGTGTGTGTGTGTGTGTGTGTGTGTGTGTGTGTGTGTGTGTGTGGTGTAACATGCTTGTATATATTGGGTTTTGCCATTTTAAAGCATTTTAATTGTACTTTTTAGATTTATGGAAAAAAGCATTAAACGGGATTTATTAGAGTCTAGTAGCTGGAGGTACACAAATGAAACTGGAAGTAAAAAGTAGAAAACAAAAATATTAGAGCATTAAGAATGTATTCAGTTTAATTAGAAATTTGCCAGCCTGTCAAAAGCTCTCCAAGACACTTGTTTAATAAATATCTTGTTTTTTTTATCATTTGTTTTACATGAGGCAAAACTATCTTGACTACTAGAGAAGTAGTCATTCATAATGAATAACCTATAAATTCTTGGGGCAGGAATTATAAATTAGAAAAGAAATAATTGTATATATATTTTTCTTTCTCTAGCAGCCAGAATAAAGATAAATGAAGAATTCAAAGGTAATAAAAGTGAAACTTCTCCCAAGAAAATAGAAGAGGTACAGTAATTTCGTCTTTCATTTATGACAAAGCCCTTATACATTTTCTTAGCCACTAGAGAAAATGATGAAAATAGAGGGGTTATATGAAATAAAAATTATTACCTTGATAGTTAAAGGCATCACAACTATGTCTACAGTTTACTTGTTTGGTATGGCTCACCTCTTCAGGCTCATCTGCCTACACCCCTAAGACAGCAAGTTTCTGGCTGAAAAGAACATGGATGTAGCTATGGTCAGAGCAAGAGCAGCTGAACCAATCCAGAAACCCACAGAAATTCTATCTTCACCTAAGGCAAGTGACTGAAACTAAGGAGAATAAATATTAAAACTGCAGATAGAACTTCTCTATTCATTTAGCTCAACTAGAGGCTTTTTTTTTTTAATTCCTGTCTTGGCAGTGAAAGTTAATCAGCCAGTTTGTGAACTCTTCTTGTTTTGCCTTTTAGTCACTTGTTCTAGTTGAAGACAGTCCATCTGCTGACACTAATCTATGAACTTCCTAATACTCCCAGTACATATTCATTTTAAAAAATGCACAATGATTTGTTTATTGTTTAAACTCATATTGCGTATACATACATATTGTCTCTGTTTTTAACTTCCCAAGTATTTCTTTATCTCATTTTGTATAAATGTAGGGAAAGAACCCTTAGGAAGAAAACAAAAAAATGGAAAGTTATTTGCAGGGCAGTTATAATTCCAAGAATTGGTTTGGTTTAATAAAATCTACCTGTTAACTTTTTTTTTTACTTAAAATGCATTTATTTTTCAGTAGAGAAAAATATTATTTTTAGAATAGTAAATATCTATAATGATCAAATTAATGAGACAAAATGAGGTAGCTTGAGTATTTCTATCCCTGTAATATAAAGGGAAAGATTTCACTTAGCCATTTGATAGGGCAAACAGGGACTTTGTAATTTTTTTCATGGCAGAAGTTAAGATGACATCATAAGTGATGACTTGAAGAGAGGGTAATGGATGTATACAAAAGTTTGTACCATTTGCTATTCAGTAGACTGATTACTAAGAATGTGGTAATTGTTTTTTAATTTTGAAATCATGGTAAAAAAATTTTAAATTGAAGTTTGTTTATATCAACTGGGAGATGAACTACAGTCTTCTAAGTTTATTTTACTTGTGAAGCACCAATTTAGCATTAAGCAGTATAGAAATTAGATATTTGTTATATACAAATATATATTTTGTATGTTTTGTAATTCTGCATCTGTTAAATATTTAGTGGTTCTTAGATTATCACATTGTTGTGTATTAGAGCATTAATGAAATCTTGATGCCAAAAGGAATTTTATGCATCCTTTACACCAGCAGTTCTCAACTCTTTGATCTCAAGACCCTTTTACTTTCTTAAAAGTTGAGGACCCCAAAGTGCTGTTCATGTGGTGTCTCTTTCACTATTTACCATAGTAGAAATTAAAACTGAGAAATTTTTGAAATATATATTTATTGTCTAAAAATAAGCTCATTACACATTAACAGATATACTGTTTATGGAAAATAACCATATTTTCAAAAAATTTAGTGAGAATATTGTTTTATATTTTGCAAATCTCTTTAAAGTTTGGCTTAATAGCAGTCAGCTAAATACTCATATCTGCTTCCTCATTCAGTCCGGTGCAGTGTTTTTTAGGTTGAAATATATGAAGGGGCACCTGGGTGGCTCAGTCAGTTAAGCGTCGGACTTCAGCTCACCTCATGATCTCACAGTTTGTGAGTTTAAGCCTCACATCGGACTCTTTGCTGTCAGCACAGAGCCTGCTTCAGATCCTCTGTCTCCCTCTCTCTCTGCCCCTCCCCTGTGCGCATGCTCTCTCTCTCTCAAAAATGAATAAACATAAAAAGAAATATATGAAGAAAATTCAGCCTTACACAGATGTGTAGTTGGAAAAGTGTCAGAGTACAGAGTAACGTTTTCAAATAAATTGAATATTCTTTGATACTACACCTCAACAGTTTGTAAATTTCTTTAAAGGTTAGTTGCACTGTGGAACTCTGTTACCTGTTAGACCAATGGGTGGAGAGAAGTAGGTAGATAAGTAGATGCTTTTTTTTTTTTTTTTGGCTCCTGGATTTGTACGGACCACCTCTTGCTCATCCTCTCTGATTTCCCCATATCCCTGTTCCTCATCTAACTTTGTTTCCAGCATTAGACCTATGATTCAACTCAGTTTATGCATCTCCAATAGATGAGAACGCCCATATTTTTCCTTTCTCTTGCCAGGTCCCTTCTCCGGTTTTTGAGAGGTGAGTGTTTGCTCTAACACACCCTTCTCCGTATCTGTTAATGGCAACTCCCTCCTTTTAATGCTCAGACCAAAAACCTTGGTCAACCTCTTTCTTGATTGCTTTCTTTCACACTTATATCCAACCTGTCAGCCAGTTTTGTTGGCTTAACCTTCAGAATACATCCAGAATTCTACCACTTCTCATTCTCCCCATCATTACCTCCTAGTTCAAGCCACCATCATCTCTCACTGGATTATTACAAAAGCCTCCTAGTAGGTATCCCTGCTTTCACCCTAACTCCCTAGAGCCTATTCCTCAACACTTTTAAAAGAAGATTGTTTTATTTTTATTTATTTTTATTTTATTAAAGTTTATTTATTTATTAAGTAGACTTCACACCCAGTGTAGAGCCCAACATGGGGCTGGAATTCACGACCCTGAGATCAAGACCTGAGCTGGGATCAGAGTCGGATACTTAACCAACTGAACTACTCAGGTGCCCCAGATTGAGCCTTTTAAAATATATAAAGGTGTATCTCATCACTCTTGTACTCAAAAACCCTCATAGCTTCTCATCCCAAAGTAAAAACTAAAGTCCTTACCATGGCCTGTAAGACTGTATCATCTGACTCCTGTTAACTCCCCACTTCAGCTCACCCTCTCTCTCCTACTCTTCCAGTCTCAGTGTGTTCTTTGAGAGCACTGGAATTCACCAAGAACTTTCCTGTCTTACAGCATTTATGCTTTTGCTTCTTCCTAGGATATTCTTCTCCAGTGTGGCCTCAAGTCTTGATTTAGTAGACCAATATATTTAATATGTCTTTCTCTTGGAATGGATCTTTTACCCATGCATGATTTTGTAACATCGTGCACCATTGACTTGGAAAATACAGGTTCACTAAGTAATGCATACCTTCCAAATGTTGACATAGTTCAATATGTAATGTTTTAAAATTATATTTATTAATGTTAATATCCATCTCATAAGTAAAATTTCTAAGTATTGGGAAACTATCAAGCTCATGGTGGCAGATACAATTTCCCTAGAATTCTAATTTGTTCTTGAAAATTTGAATTTTGTCATTGTCAGCAAATAAAATAGAGTCCACTTACTCATTTTCAAGAAAATGTTTTCCAAATACCCAAGTCTGAATAATCATAGTTTGTCTGTCTGTGGTTCATTCAGGTCAAAATGGTAGTCCATGGAGAAAACTCTACTTTTGCTATAACTCAAACAATGCAGAAAGCTCTAGTGTCATGAAAATCATTTTGACTTCATGGTATCTGAAAGACTTTCAAGGTACCTTAAGCGTCCACGACTTTACAAATCATTGTTCTAGTCCATTTCTTCATTTTGCATATGATAAATTCTGAAACTCAGAGTAGGTTATTAACTCAAGGCCTAATACTTAATGATAGAGCCAGATTTGGAATCCAAGTATTCTGACTTCTAATTCAGTATCATTTCTAGTGTTTATAGTACATCTGACTCTATAAAAGAAAGACTCAGCCGTCTCCTGAAGAACACAGCATTTACTCTTTTATTTAAGTTTATTTATTTTGAGAGCAAGAGAGGGTGAGAGAGAATCCCACACAGGCTCTGCAGAGCAGAGCCTGATGCCAGGCTCAATCCCATGAACTGTGAGATCATGACCTGAGCTGAAATCAAAAGTTGGATGCTTAACAGACTAAGCCACCCAGGCACCCCAAAAACAGCTTTTTTAAAAAAAATTTATTTTAATTTTATTTTAGAGAGAAAGCAGGGGAGAGGGGCAGAGGGGAAGAGAGAATCTTAAGCAGGCTCCACACTGTTAGTGGAGCCTGATGTGGCTCAGTCTCATGACCATGTGATCATGACGTAAGCCGAAATGAAGAGCCAAGGGCTCAACCAACTGAGCCACCGAGGCGCCCCCCAAAACAGCATTTTTAACATATAAAATACACATTCAAGAAAAAATAATCTATTTTGGAACAAAATTTGGAATGGATGGATAAAAGTTCAAAGTACACACATGTCTATATTCTCTACGCTTGGAATAGTTTTAAAAAGTTAAAGGCAGTATTACCTAAAAACAACTAAACAGTATACCTACAGTTTTCAAAATCATTGCATTCTATATGGACTATTGGAAAAAAAAAAACACCCAGAGGATTTATTATGTTTGGTTTTCTTAACAGCTAATAAAAATAGGTTCCGACGTTGAATTGTTACTCAGAACATCTGTTGTACAAGGTATTCATACAGACCACAATACATTGAGTAAGTAAAATTAAAAATGTTTTCTGACTTCTATGTGTTTTAAACTATTGAGCAGTTGCAGTGCTTTTAATGCTTAATAATAAAGCAACTTGATTTTGCCAGACAATGTGGTATATCCTGTATACATTTGTTTGTTTTTTATAAATTTTGTTTTCTTTTTTATTTTTTCTAATTTTTTTTACATGTTTATTATTATTATTTTTTTTTTTTTTTTGAGAGAGAGAAAGAGAGACAGAGTGTGAGTGAGGTAGGGGCAGAAAGAGAGGGAGAGACAGAATCCAAAGCAGGCTCCAGGCTCCAAGCTGTCAGCCCATGTCAGAGCCTGACATGGGGCTCGAATTCACAAACCAGGAGATCATGACCTGAGCCGAAGTCGGAAGCTTACCAACTAAGCCACCCAGGTGCTCCTATCCTGTATATATTTGTAAGGCTACCATTTAAAATGCCAGATTATGAAACTTTATTTTGCCAGATTTTTTTTCTTTTTCTTTTTTAAATTTATTTTTTCTATTTAATCTTAACTACTGGTTATATTATAGAACTGTAGTTACAAAAACAGTATGACTATTTTTTCATCATATTTATTTGATGTTCTTAACAATTGTATTATCAGTTATCACCTACTTAGACTGTTTATCTTTTATTCTTTGGTTAGAGTTATTTTAATTTAGAAGAGCTGGTATTATAGAAAATGGAAATACAGTTGAGGATCCTCCATTATACTTCCAGATACCTCATAGGGCTTCAGCAGAATTTTCATTTCGCATTATATTTTGTTCTCATTCCCTAAAATATCTTTGAGGACGACAACAACAACAACAACAACAACAAAAGATGACATTCAAATTTTTGAAAATGTTTTCTTTTTCTTTAATTGAAAAAAAAAAAAAAAGGGGGAGAGGGGCAGAGCAGGGAAGAGAGAGAGTATCTTAAGCAAGCTCCACACTCGGTGTGGAGCCAAACACAGGTCTTGCTCCCTTGGCCTTGGGATCATGACCTGAGCCAAAATCAAGAGTCAGATCCTAAATTGTTGACTGAGCCACCCAGGTGTCCCAAGGTTTCTTTTTCTTTCTTTCTTTCTTTTTTCTTAAGTAATCTCAAAGTATAACATACAATCAGAAAAGTGCTCAATTATAAATATACAGCCAGGGAATTTTCACAGAGTAAAATAACCATGTAATCACCATACAAAGTAAGCTATTTCATAATATTACCGTATTCCCCTAACTCCTCATGTCCCTTCCAGATACCCGCTTCTAATAAGCTAACCACTATCCTTACTATTAATACTATAGATTTTTAATTTAGTAAAATAAAATGTTTGAACTTTATATAAATGGAATCGTAAAGGATTACTATTTTGTCTGGCTTTTTTCAACATTGCATTTGTGAGATTAATCTATTTTGTTGTGTATAACATTTCTATGAATACTGTTGGAACATATCACAGTTTATCCATGCTGTTGTTCATTTGTGTTGTTTCTAATTTTAATGTGTAATGACTATTGATTCCTTGAACATAATTGGATGTGCCTTTTAGTTCAAAATTTATAAATACATGAAAATTTTATGTGTGTGTGGGTATACACACACACACACACCAACACCACACTCACACACACACATATACATAGTTGACCCTTGAGCAGTGTAGGGGTAGGGGTGCTGACTACATTAGAAAATTCACATGTAACTTTTGACTACCCAAAACCTTAACTACTAATAGCCTGCTGTTAATAAGAAGCCTTACCGATAACATAAACACATATGTTATAGTATCCTATACTATGGTCTTACAATAAAGTAAGCTTGAGAAAAGAAAACATTATATTTTAAGGAAAATATGAATGTATGATACTCCTAACCAGTTTTCCAAATTAGTTAGGCTAATTTACACTTCGAGCAGCAGTGTCTGGGACCTCAGGGTGCTTCATATCCTCACCAACACTTGGTAATCTGCACCTCTTTAAGCACCCTTTCTGGTGATTGTGTTATGGTATTTGCATTGTGATTTTAATTTGCGTTTCTTTGGTGACTAGTAAAGTACTAGCACCCCTTTCAGTTGTTAAGTGGCCATTTGGATATTCTTTTATGAAGTGACTGGTCAAGTCTTTTCCCCCTTTTTCCAAGGGGTCAGCTGCTTTTTTATTACTGATTTGAAGGAATTCTTTGTATATTCTGAATATACATTCTTAGATCTATGTATTACAAGAATCTTTTACTTAATGGCTTGCCTTTGGTTTTGGTAATGTTGCCTTTTGATGAGAAGTTCGTAATTTTAATATAATCCAGTTTGTCTATTTTTTCATTTATGGTTGATACTTTTCTGTCCTGTTTAAAAAAATCTTTGTGTGTCTCAAGCAAGGTCATGAAGAGATATTCCTATGCTTTCTTCCAAAAGCTTTAATGCTTGATCTTTTCCATTTGGTTGTTTATATCACCTGGAGTTGGGTTTTGTATATGGTATGAGCTAGGGGGTCAAGATTTTTTTTTAGTTGAAGTATAGTTGACACAATGTTAGTTTCCAGTTTACAACATAGTGATTTGATAACTGTCCATGCTGTGCTAACCCCAATGTAGCAACCGTTCATCACAACACACTATTACACTACCATTGACTATATTCCCTATTATTTACCTTTTATCCTTGTGACTTACTCCATATCTAGAAGCCTGTACCTCCCATTCCCTTTCACCCCTTGTTGCCCATTTCCCCACCACTCTCCTTTCTGGCAACCACCGGTTTGTTCTCTGTATTTATAGGTCTCTTTATGCTTTTTTTGTTCATTGCTGTGTGTTTTTGGTTTGGTTTGGTTTGGTTTGGTTTGGTTTGGTTTACATAGAAGTGAAATCATTTGGTGTTTGTCACAATGTTTTTACATGTGAATGTCCAATTGATCGAGCATTTATAGAGAAGACCACTTTTTCCCACTGTACTGCAGGGTTACTTTTGTTATAAAATAAAATGACTATATATGCTTTCAATTGTTTCTGAACTTCATAATCTCTGCAATTAGTTTTTCTATCGATCCATCATATGCTTTAATGTCTTGATTAGTAGTTTAAGCCCTATAAAGCTTTAAAGTTATTTTTAAGTTCATGAGGATTTATCAGAAATTATTAGATCTGAGTTGTATTCATAAGGGCAGTAAACATAGTAAAAAAAAAATGCAAAACATAAAATTTGCATTACTCTAAATTGCAAATTTTAATCATTACCTTTAATCTTAATAATGATCTTTAGAGCTTTTGTGTAGTATAGCCAACATTTTATACAGGTAGTCCCTTCTAAATGTTATTATTTGAATAAAATAATATTTATTTATATGAATAAAAATTAAGTTATTTCAAACATTTAAATTGGATATATTTCAAATGCCTGGTTTTAGATGTGATAATACTGGTTTAAATTTCTTTTGATCTTTTGGTTTTCTTTATAATTTAATTTTCCCACAAGATTGAAATTTTTGAGCCTTTCATGGTAATTAGTATATAGTGCTGTATTACCTTAAGAATGGCCTCATCATTCCTTCTATTAACAGATATATGGGTCTCTTTTTCCTACTTTGTGCCTATGTCCAAGATATAACAAATTGGATTATTTAATCTACTTTAAAGTTATTTTAAGCAAATATCTTCACAAATTTTAGCAGTGTTTGTACTGGTATATAGAAATGAATTAAAATTCTGCTACTTGGCTAAAAAGTACTGTGTTGAACAGACGCAGTGGGAATAGGCAACTTTGTCTTGTTCACGATCTTAGAGGAAGAGCTTTCTGTTTTTTGCCATTGACTATGATGTTATGGGCTTGTCCTATGTGACTTGTATTATGTTGGGATGTGTTTCCACTACAGCAGTTTTGCTGAGAGTTTTTAATCATGACTGCATGTTGAATTTTGTTGAATCCTTTTTCTGCATCTTTTGCATTGATTCTATGATTCTTTTTTATCCTTCATTTTGTTAATGTGGTGTATCACAGTATTTTGCAGATGTTGAACTATCTTTGCATTCCTGGTATAAATTCCACTTGATTGTCAAATTCTGCTTGATCCACTTGATACATGATTCTTTTCATGTGTTGTTGAATTTGATTTGCTAATATTTTGCTGAGGATTTTGCATCTGTTTTCCTCAAGGATATTGACCTCTGATTTTCTTTTCTTGTAGTGTCCTTGTCTAGTTTTGGTATCAGAGTAATGCTGGCTTCATAAAATGAGTTTGAAAGTATTCCTTCCTCTTTTGTTTCATTTACTTATTTATTTATTTTTAATCTTGACCTAAATTTTTTTTGGGCCATAAATAAGTTAAAGGATTTTATTTTAAGAAATTATTGTTTTGGGGATATCTGGGAGGCTCAGTCAGTTAAGCATCTGACTTCTGCCCGGGTCTTGATCTCACAGTTCATGAGTTCAAGTCCTGCAACAAGTGAGCTTGAGCTCCGCTTAAAGTGAGGTTCTGCCCTACTTTGGGTGAGCTCCACTTCTCTCTCTCTCTCTCTCTCTCTCTCTCTCTCCCTTTCTCTCTCTCTCTGCCCATTGTGGGATTGTCTCTCTCTCTCTCTGCCCCTCCCTCACTTGCACCCTCTCTCTCTCAAAAAACAAATAAAATAAAGTGATTAAAAAAAAAATTACTTTTTTGGGGGCACCTGTGTGACTCAGTCAGTGTCTCACTTTGGCTCAGGTCATGATCTCATGGTTAATGAGTTCGAGCCCCACATTAGGCTTGCTGCTTTCAGTGCATAGCCCACTTTGGATCCTCTGTCCCTCTCTCTTTCTGCCCTTCCCCACTTGTGCTCTCTCCCTGTCAAAAATAAATAAAACATTAAAAAAAAGAAATTACTCTTTAACTGATAAATTTCATATGACCATAATAAGGTTTTTAGGAGCCTCTAAAGTACAAGAAATAAATCATGATCTCGATGTAGTTCTTTTTCAAGATCTGACAACTTCAATAAACTTAATGTTGTTATGGCACATTGATATCTAACATAGAGAACAAAGT